CAACAGCTGCTCTTTGAGAGAGGAAGAGAAGAGAGAGGAGCCCTGTGCAATTCCTTTCAGCTCTGAGCCACCCACAGATCTGGGTTGGAGCTGCTTTCTTGGAAATCGGAACTGCTCCACTAAACATGAAGGTACAGTACTGCAGGGCCTGCCCACCCAATTCCAAAGCCTTCAGACTGTGTTCGCAGTGTGGGTTAAAGCTGAGACCTTGTCTAAACTGTCTGTCTGCTGCCTGTGGTCTCGCCTCTTTTCCTTTGCTCCTGCAGCTGCTGCAGTTCTCCCGCCTTACCTTAAACTGTCGAGCTTAAAGCATCGCCCTGAGCTTATCCCTTGATTGGCAGGGACCTCTAGTGGAGAAAATTCAGCGACTGTGTGGGATAACTGGCTTTATGAGCACAGACGGGGCCCACCACAGCAAAAGTGGTTGCCTGGGACATGAATGGAAAACTCTAGGAAATGAGCTTTGTGCATGGCTCTTGGAACAACTTGTTTTCTTGGGAAGGAAAGGAGTGGCTGCTCCTTGTCCACCATTTCAGCTCCCAAAATATAACACTACATATAAAAATAACCTTCCTGATCCCACTATTGCATACAGGTGAGCCTGAGGCTCATTGCAACCACCAACAAAGGTCTTTCCTAACAAAGCAACTCAAGTGTTTTAATTTGCTACCTATGGTATTGAACGTGTTTAGAATACGTGCCTGAGGGATAACAGACCTTTTCTTCCCTTCTCAGGCAGAGGTTTTTGCTCCTAATGTTGACCAGATGCATGTGGTAGACCACGTGAAAGGACAGCCAACTCAGGAGAAGCGCAATGTACTGGTTGAAAGTGCCAGAATAGCCAGAGGCAACATCAAGGATCTAACTAAGCTGGATGTCAAGGGGCTGGATGCCTTAATCATACCAGGTAGGTTGGTATGTGGGGTCTGCATGCCCATGGTCTTGGAACAGCTTAGGTATATGTGTACGCCTTGAAAAATATGGGCTGAGAGAGATTGGGCAAAGCCACTGGGGGAGAAGATAATTTGGGAGACAGGACTGGAATGATGGACATCCTCCATCTGTGCTTGCATAAACTTATATTACAAGAGCACATGGCAGAAATTGGTCCCAAGCAGAGAGAGCAGATAACCACCAGTTGACTTACCCTCTGTACCATCTACTTAGCTTCTTTCTACTGGATGTAAGACTATCCCCTCCCTCACCAACATGCCTGCCTTATTATCAAGAGAAGCAAAAGCTGGGACACAGAGAGGGTGACTCAGAAGTGAAAAGTGCAATCTCTTCTGAAATCAGTCTTCGGTGAAAGTATTTCAGTGGGGTTGGATGAGACCCGGAACAAGGATTAAAAGACAAGTGAAAGCTTGTCAGTGTGCTGAAAGAGAAGAGCTCATAAGTGGAACAGGGTAACCAGCAGTGCACTGATACCTCTCCGGTTTTCTTTAGAAACAGAGGTGGTGCTTTAGAATCTTATCTTGTGGTGGTCAGGAGCTGAGAATATTCAGGGGCTTGCAAAGGTTCTGCTTTGTTTCATCAATATTGCCTAAAGGCTTCTATCCACCAAATCCATTTTAACATTCTAACAAACCATACCTGACAGAAGTCCTGCCCCGCAGCACTAATCTTCCTGTCTAACCTGTTTCCCTCTTCTCAGGTGGCTTTGGAGTGGCTAAAAACCTGAGTACTTGGGCCACCCAAGGAAAGAACTGCACAGTCTCCAAAGAAGTGGAGGATGTCCTGAAGGCTTTCCATGCTGCCAAAAAGCCCATTGGCCTGTGCTGCATTTCCCCTGTGCTGGCAGCCAAAATCTTCCCAGGCTGTGAGCTGACTGTGGGTCATGACACAGAGTGTGAGAAGTAAGTAACCTTGGGATGCTAATACACAACTGTACCATGAAAGTCACAGAATCAGCAATCTCTCCCCAGTGTATCTAGTACTGTGCGTCGTGCCCCTTTCAGTCCCAGGGCAGGAAAGATGGGGAAGGTGCCGCACCACTGACTGAAAGTTAAGCAGATCCTGGCTAGGAACAAGATGGCTGCATCACACATAAAAGGCAGGGATTAAGACTGACATTATCCATCCATGAAAGCTGTGACTGAATTCTCCCAGTGGCAGGAAATGGCTCTTGTTAATGGTATAGAAAGCTGGTGAAGAAACCAAACCCCAAAATAAGTCTAGAGTGCATAGGATTAAGCAGCAGAACAACTATGCTGGAACATCAAGGTTTTATGTCAGCTTTACTTCAGCACTGTAATCTGGAGATTTTCCTGATGCTACAGCCTTAGAAAAATTCTTTTGACAGGAAAAGATTTAGAACCTATAAAGCAGGCTTTTTATAGGGACCATCCTCTCTGTAACGGCCGAGAAGATGCTGTTGTGAGGTGCAAACAGGCTTTTTATTGTAGGCTTTTCTCACATCCTCTACATTGGTCTTTTTTCTTATAGATGGCCTTATGCAAAGACTGCTGAGACTGTGAAGGAACTTGGCTGCAAGCACATAAACAAACACGTCACTGAAGTTCACGTGGATGTGAAGAACAAGCTGGTGACAACCAGTGCCTTCATGTGCAATGCCCCCATTCATGAGATCTATGATGGTATTGGAAAAATGGTCAAAGAAGTGATCAGGCTTGCCTAAATGCCACAAAGCCAAATGTCAACAGGCAAACTGCTACTCAGAGTTCTTCCCCACATTGCAACACCAGTGGCTGCTGGGGTGAGAGAACTGGAGCAATGTAAGATTGGCATATTTTATCGTGGACATACCATTTGCTGTACTGACCCCAAATCAGCAGCAGTTCTGTGATTCTGTAATGAGTGTCAGTGCACCATAAGCTGGCACACAGATGCCAGATGTCCACAGATTGCCACCATTATCTGTGGTTCTGAGTAGCTGGGCAGTTGCCTGGGTCTTTTCAGTTATGATTTGGCTGACCTGACAAGCACATCATGTGTGAATGGGAATTGTTCAGAAATTTGTTATAAATCTATCTCTCCCTACTTTTCACCATATCACAGAATAGATGAATTAGTGGCAAAAGAAAGGAGCACAATTTTGGTACTGAATAAAACAGGCATATTTTACAAAGGCTGAATGCTGCTTTTATTTTTGTCTTTTACTCTGCGTTAGGATATGTTCTTAGTGCTGGTGGCTGGACAGTAAATGGGTAAAATAGCACAGAAGGAAGTCACCAGTAACAACCCCCCCCTAGTTTTCCTAGGTTTTCTCAGAACTCAGACATGGTAAAAGCAGAAGCAAACCAACATTAGCAGGAAGGTTTAACAAGAAGTTGTTAAATTCTTCTCTTGTATTAACGCGAGACCAGTTACAATAGCATGGGGGTATTTTGGAAGTAGTCTAGGTGGAAAGTGTCAAGGGTGAAATCTGGGCATCCCAAAGAAAATGCTGCAATTTCCAACTGCTTTCAATCTCTAGGAAAATTCCTAGAAATTATGTGGAAGCAACAATTCTGCATTGCTACAGGGACAGACAAGATACCCATCTAGCTGAAACTGGAACGCCAGGCTGGAAACTGGTTGGGTGACAGTGAATTTTGGCAAAGACAAGACACTAAAAATAACTGAGTACTACATACAGTTGTTCAGATAACAGGCCAGGCACTGATTTGTAAGGCCAGAAGGATCTATTCATCTGCGTAATCTGACTGCTCTACAGGAGCACAGTAACTCACATTTTACTGAAGCAAACCTGCTGAGCAGATTCGTTCTTTGCTTAGAGACACTGCTATGCCATTTGATGGCTCATTCCTACAGTTAATCACTGTTATTTAAGATAAGCCATGCCTTATTTCTTTTTGTAGTTGAACAGCTTACTTCCAGCTTCAGGATTTTGACAGGTTTGTCTCCATTAGATTGAAAAGTATTTTAGATGGTAGCTTGTATGTTCGTATGTAGGCTCTTATTCTATATGCAGCATCACATAATAATTGCAGGCTGAACTGTTAAATTCTCACAGTATTCAGACATTTTTTCTAAGCCAGTAATTATTTTCTGAGACTCTCGTCAGGCTCTTTACATCCTTTCCAAAACACATGCACGTTTTTGCATGCTCAGCAACATGGCAAGATCCTTCAAGACTATACCAGTGATCAAAATAGGAAGGAATGTACCCCCATGCTGCAGTGGAGCTGCAAAGAGGAACTCGAGCACTTCTGGCAGGGTCACAACGGCCCAGAATGACAATTGTACCACATTGTTGGTTTTGTTTTTAAATCAAAATGGCCCTTAGCTTTTCTATATTTTTTCCACTGCTTCTCCTACCAATCATTTTTAAGCAATTGCCCACCTTCCATAACATTTACTAAAAATTGAAAAGCCTGCAAGACATGAAGGATCAGCCAGTTTGGGGGCAGTAGCTGCCAGGAAAAAGATGGAAATGTATGCTTAGCATGGAAAGTCCACGGATCCCCTGGTCGACAATACCCAGAGAAAACTGTGCTGAGCACTCCAATCATGAAGAAAATTCAGTCTGAATTTGCATTTCATTAGGAAGGAAGCACAAATCCATGGGAGACCTGACCTCATTACATCTTCTAGTCTCATAGCTGTACAGTTGTTCTCCTGTACTGCGACTTTGGAAGGGAAATTCAAAGTCTAAGATATTCGCTACCTTATGGAAAATAACTGCTCCCAAGCCCTCAAACTCTTGTCTTTTACATAATACCAGAGAATCAGGAAAGGTACAGAAGTTTTTATCATAAATACTAATGTTTGAAATTTATATTTTCTGAGATTAAGAGTGTTTTGACTAACTTTATCAGGCTGAAAAGCCATGGGATGTAGTTACAATAGAGAGAACTCTAGGGGAAGGCTAATGAATTTGAATTAATCTCAACCTTTAGAATTAACCCACACAGACACAGAGCTAGCAACAGAACTGTTTACTGGGATATAGAAAACTGCCTGCAGTGATGGAGCAGAATCAACACCAAAAATGAAACATCTCAGTGTGTTTTCACACCCAAGAAAGGCAACACACAAAAAAATTCAAAAGTTGGAAAGAAGTGATACTGCAAACAGTTGTTTACAATTGAATGGGAGAAAAAAAGAAAATCATGTAGTTACAGGTCGGACAATGTCAGAATCCGCAAAAACTCTTCTGGATCCACTTCCCCATCTCCATCCACGTCTGCTTCATCAATCATCTCCTGTCAGACAACGAAGATTTGGGAGACCAGATTAGGTGGGATCTGAGAGGATGGAGGTCATAAAGCCTAAACACCAATAAAGATCTCAGGCAAGGCTTCTTGTTAACATAACAGATTGTGTCTGTTGCAAAGAAACAAAGCACAATTTCCCAATCAGTAAGCCTTTACATTCCCTCCCTGAGCAAGAGAAATACGCTTGTGCTTCACAAACCTGCAGCTCATCGTCTGTGATGTCTTCTTTAACCTCACTAGCCACCAGCTTGAGTTTCTCAAAAGAGATCTTGCCGGTGCCATCATAATCAAACAGCTTGAAACCTTTCAGGATCTCCTCTTTTGAAAATGGCTCCGCCTTAGCAAGGAAATGAAAAATGTCTTCATGCAGGCATGACATCACACCACTCTACAATCCCTACTCAGACACTTTACCCAGCAAACATTTGGAATAAAATCCAAGGCATCATTTTGAGTCACAGAGGAGGGCTATTTGCCATTGCTGTTCCTCTTTCACTTTTCTTTCACTTTTTTCCTCTTCTTTTCTCAGTGTTACCGTGTATTAAAGGAAAAGCTAAAACAGAAGTTTTTTGAACAGTATGGGGACTTGGCCTGGAATATCCTGGCCAAGCTTTGTCAGGAAGAGAGAGATTAGCAACACTACTGAAGTGGAAGCCACTGCCAAGAGCGATCCAATGGCTACAGCTGTATTTTATTTCAAAAGTGAGCCAGGCTTGCGCTGGCCATTGCTGCCTTTATTTACCTCACACACAAGCAATGTGTACACAGGCCTTCAATTAGGTGTGGGCTTTGACTGAACGCCAAAGCATTACTATGGGGAAAATATGGATCTTCACTTTGCTCTTAGCATAGGTCCAAAAACACACACCCTGGCAACTCTGATGGCATGTACACAGGAATGGCAATGCCAGCTCTGACCCAGTCATCTCACCAAGCCTTGCAATGAAATTACAAGGATGTGAGGGGAAAAACCAGTCATGCTGGCACTGTTTGAGAACAGCTTATGTCTGCACGCAGCCAGGTACTAGAGAATACAGAGGTGTATGAGCAAAGGAATCCCAGAAGGGCAATGCAGACTAGGACATGTGAAACAAAGGGCTGGTATCAAACAGCAGATCTGAGGACACTCCACAGGCTCGAGTGGCTATTGCCCACAGGAGGGGATTTTTCATTTTCATCTGATGTGTGACATTTGCTCCCTGCTGTTTTGGTTTTGACAAGATCTAGAACTCTGAGATTATAAATACGGAGCTGAAATTCCACATGTAAAGATTTAAAGGGGGAGAGGGGAGACTGCACTCATTCCTATTAGGTCTATTTCTGATACGGTCTGAGGGCTGACAGTGGGACTCCTTCCTGGAGATTTCCAAGTCCTTCAGTTTCCAAGGAAAGATCCCAGGCACTGCGCTCAGTGCACTCAATGATAGGGAGGAATTGTCTGCTGAAATGCAAAACTACCTGAGCTAGCCATCCTAGATCCTCGTGGAAAAGGCAGGAGTGGTAAAGACAACTCACCCAAGGGCAGATATCTAAAATACCTCAGATGAAAGTCCTGTTTCTCTCCTGCAGGGAACCAGTAACCCAATCTACTGCAAGTGCCTGCATTGTAAAGTTAGGCAAGAGGAATTTCAGACTTTGCGACCAGCTGTGCTCACACACCATTTTCTGGGTCATCACCCGCAGAAATGACTCAAAGTTTATCTTCCCTGACCCATTCTCATCAACTTCAGAGATAATTCTCTTCATCTCCGCTTTTCTGAGTTCACAGCCCAGAGCTCTCATCGTTAGCTGCCAAATGAGAAAGCAGACCAACGTCACTGTACAAGTCAAAAAGAAACAAAGCAGAAAAGACGTTTGAAGCAAGTAGGTGCACGTAAAGGGGGGTGGGGGTGGGAAGGGGGAGGAACAACTTTTTGGCTCCGTGGAAAGATAACAGGACAAACAGCCTGTCTACAGGGCAGACAACAGAGCAGCCTTCTGACTCTGCAGTGAAACTGGGCCTGTGCCAGAAGGCTGCACACGTTCATGAAGCCAACTTGGTGACAAACCTGATTAAGAAATTTCAAATCCCACAGCCCCATTCCAGGTGCTCATTTTTGCCCATATATTGCAGCTTATCAACACAAGCACTTATTTATCAGGCAAACAGAAAAAGGAGTTGCTGAAATCAGATGACTGAAAACAACCATCCTTGGAATGTGAAGGTCTTTTAGAGAAGACCTTTTAGAGATCCAGGATGTGATTTTTCAAGGCACAGTCTCTGACACACTACTTGCTTGCTGCTCTTCACCATTCCCATCAGCTCCTTATTGCTCCCCTGCCAATTAGCACTGCATTCTTCCATCTCAACAGTGCCAGGAAATGACTGTATATTTGCATATGTGTACATATTTTTGTAATATTAAATTTATTTTTAACCCAGATCACTTTTCTCATGCAATTTCCTCCATGCTTCTGCAATTAGCTAGGACAATTGCACATACAGTTGAGACAGCAACAAATGGAAGGGCAAGAACTGTGCTAACCACCTTGTCTCCCAGCATCTCCATGCAGACAAGCTGGCTCAACCCTCCTCTATAAGTGAATGGGAAGGAATTGTGTGCAAAATATCTGAGCAGCAGGAGAGGAAAGGGCTGTACAAAACACAGAACAAGCTGTTCATCCTCCATTTTGTCCCTAAAGAACAGTGTTCTGTAGCTGTCTGATGTCAGCAGTACGAGTGGAAAACTGGGAGGGAAGATCTGCGGGCAAGTGCCAAGGAGAAGGAAGGCTTCAGTCCTTCCTAAGGAAACCTGGCTAAAACACTGACACTATTCTTGCATGATTGCTGGCTGTAAAACAAGCCAGAGTTCTAGCAGCAACGCCTGACAGCTCAGCAAGTGATCCAAAAGCAATAAGTAGCAAACACTAATTGCTCTGTAACAGCTCCACAACAGGTGGAGCTTGTAAATTATTAGGCTTATTTGTGCTTGTGAATGATTAACCTCACTTGCAACATTTCTGTTTACTGTCACCTTTGTTTGACTACAAGTAATTTTGGTTCCGAGAGCACTTGCGATCACAAAGCATCCCTGTCAGCTCTCCGGGCCGGGGATCCGAGCCCAAACATCCCCTGGGAGCTGCAGCCCTTCAGCTACACAAGGCACGTGCCGTCCCTTGTAAAAGCCGCTGATGCGGGGCTGCTAGAAAGCTTCGCTTGCACATCTACAGAAAGTGATTGCTGTGCAAAGGAAGAAAGCAGAGGAGACTCCTGAGCAGCAGAGGGGAACGGGCAGCTTCAGCCGCCCCGGCGTGCCTCCTTGCAGGGAGGGGCTGCTAAACCGCTCAGCCTTCGCTCCGCTCCCCGTGCTTCCATTTCACCAGTGAACACGCTGCATTTTCGCGGCTTCCTGCCTTCAGGTCCTTGACATCTATCAGGCCGGAGCCGTCGGGATCGAACGTGTCAAAGGCCTCTCGCAGCTGCTGCCTCTGCTCAGTGCTGATCGGGAACGTGGGAGCCGGCTCCTTCCCCGGAGCCTTCGGGCCGCCAGCAGCCTGCAGAGGAGAGACCCGAGATCCTCGGACCAGCAGCAGCCCCTCCTGGGGACCGCACACAGGACCGGCGGATCCCACCAGCTCACCATCCCGCCGCCGGCAGCGCCCAGCCTCCCGGCGCTATGGCAACCGCGCTGCCGTTGGCCACCACACCTGCCTGTCAGCTAAAGCGTGCGAGCTGATTGGGCGAGGCGCAGAGCGGGCGGGGGCTGGTGCCGCGGCTCCGTCACGCCGCCTTCTACCCGCCCGCCGGTGTCCGCGCTGCGGGGTCGCCAGGCTTCCAGGAGGAAGGGTGCGGCGCTTCCAGAACAGCACCAGGGCTGGGGCACGGCACCAGGCTCGTCCCGAGGGAGGGAGCGAGTCGCTGTTGTGAAGGATGCACCTTTGCGCTGGAGAAAATGAGCGTTGCGTGGTTTCGTGTGGTTTGTTTTCAACCGTGGCTCTATCCTGGAGGTTTGCTCCCAGAGAAAAGCGCACAGAATCCTTTCTAATTGGCAGCAAATAATTCGAAATAAGCCCACCCTGTCCTGTATTTGAAATTTGGACGGGTGGCTCCTCTGCCTGGACAGTGTAAGTCTGAAGTGCATCATTTCTGACAAAGAATGACCCGCGTTGTGCATCTCTGCAGGAGGACCATCAGCAAGGAACTGTGTATTGCACTGCGGTTTTTAGGTTAAAAAAATGAAGTTTAAGGCTAAAAGTCAGATTTCCGCACGGCAGGATTAAACAAAACCGTGAATCACTGCAGCAGCAATAGAAGGTCACCCGAGAATGGAGTGGAGTAGATAAAAGACTGGAAGCTGTACAGAAACCGACAAACTTGCTAATAAATTGAGCTCGTTTGATGAATAAGCCGAGCTTTTGACGTTTTTGCCGTTTTCCTGTGCATCTTCTCCTTCGCCACACGGGGGCACAAGAGACTGCAACAATCTGCTCCCTTCTGACACATTGCTGCTATCAATCAGTTTTCAAAGGCAGAAAAAGGTCTGAAAGGAATTCTACGTAATACAGGCCGAGTTCAATTATTGTTATCTTTCATGTCTAGTTTAGTTTTCGATTTTTCCCCATGTTTATGAATTGTTCGAGTAAATTGAGTGGTCAGCAAAGGGAAAAAGGCAGATACTGTCAAAAGCAAAGGAATTGTTTGAATTGAGGAGCCTGGAAGATATTAAAATTTCTGCAGAGGAAGAATTCATTCTTCTCTTATCTGAGTGAGGAGGAAGGATGCCAGAGGAACTGCTGGAACAAACAGAAGTAGCGGAAGGACTGGGGTGCTTGTTTCCTTCCAACACAAAGCAGAAGCCATCCTTCCCTTCTGCTCTCACCTCAGACAGATGCACTTCAAAGACAGAATACAGCGTAGTTTTGTGTCTCCAGCCAAGCATTTCGTACCTAGAGCCCTTCTGGAGATTTCAAGTCTCCACTTTGAAGTACCCATAGGAATCCTTTTTATTATTTGCCCAAAGATCAGACAATGCTGTCCCAGTGGAGATGTGTTTTTGTATACTTCTTTCCACAACTCTGATGGTTTAAAATAAGACATTTTATTTGAAGTACAATCTTATATTTTAACAAACGTATATATCACCAGCACTGCTAATTTTCTCTTTCTGCAACGAGATTCCTTTAAATGTGTGAACTGAATAGCAGGAGGTTAAGTTGCAGTAGTCCATTTACTTACTTTTTCAGTTTTAAGAACATAATAAAAAAGGGGGAGGGAATAATCACCATAAGACAGCGTAAAAAAAGCTGATCCCCACAGATATGTCATATAAAGAATTCACTGTAACTGAGCCCAAGTCAAGGCATTAAACTAGAAGCTTCAACTGCTGGGAAATACAACTTTACACTTTAAAATTTTAGTTCTTTCTTTTCCAAATCATAATGATCTGACATGTGTCTTACAGTCAGATAAGGATCTGAATACTGTTACTGAAAAATGTAATGTCTGTCTTGAAAACGAACAGTACAAACATCTTACAAGTACAAACAAGCAACCACGTTGCTACATGTAAGCAGGTTAAGTTGGTAACTGTTCACAAACACAAGTTTGAGATCATTTGCTTAAAAGAAAGCATTGACCTAACTGTTCTGGTCTCTTTATAGAAATAAAAAGCTGGAAAAAAGTGAGGCACCTACCAGACATACACACACGTGTGCAAACAAATACAACAAAATTCAGTTTCAGTAAAGGCTGGTCTTCTTCATGATCCGCAAGAATTCCTGCTCGTTCACTTCCCCATCCCCATCTCTATCTGCTTCATCAATCATTTCCTGAAAGATATTTGTGTTCAGAAATGAGATGCAGATTAGAGTAGAATCAGAATGATTAGATTAATTCAGAATTAGAATCACTCTTTAGTAAATAGCATTGGACAGGACAGTGTTGGCTCAAAGTCAGACCTAACATGCTTCGAAGTATTTTTTAAACCAGGCAACGTGTTTAAATATGTTTTACAAAACTATGTGTAGGGTATGTCCTTTTAAAGGAGCTATCCTGGAAGAAATGGAGTGCTTGGAGCAGTTGTTCCTTTCCCATCACTGTAATTCCACAGAGAGTGACAGTTACTGTGACACAATTTAACCACGTATGCTTAACCCATCTTTGGCCTTAGAACCTATTTCCGAATTGACAGCACTTTTCCGTTTCTTTAGGGAAAGAGCTTAAATTAAGCATTACAGCTTAATAGCAAAGATCCCATGGGATGCTACAGGACAGCACCTGAAACTGAAAATCATAGTGACCCCTGAAGTGGCTTCCTTCCCCAGTGAGAAACAGATTCTCACGCTTTATTCTCAATAGTTAGAGAGAGACTTCAGCTCCCCAAGCAGGAGGAGAATGAGACTGTGGCTATTTACATGGATTTAAAACTAAACATGAAACCAACTAATACACAAACATTCTACTGTCTTTCAATTCAGTGAAGAAAGCATAACCTGGACCTTTAAACACCCACAATCCACAAAGGCTGATAATGAGTGTTTGTGCATCACATGATGTAGGGGAACTGCTGGGTCACAGCTTGCACTGGTAATTGAGCATCTGGTGAAGGGGTGAAGGAGTGTGTCTGGCCCAGGGAACACAGGCAAATTGTTTACACCTGTGCTCTACACATGGCCAGAAGGGGTGGACCCACGGTGGAGCCTCCCTGGGCTCATATAAGAGCCAGCCACAGAAGGGAGAAATCTCTTAGGTGTGGGCTGCTTGCTGAGAAGAAGTGCTGCATAGCTAGAGAGCCCCTTCACCAGCTGGGTAAGCTTGCCCTTTTCTTTCTTCTGTATACAGTCATTGTGTACCTGCTAATACTTTGCTTAGTATCACTCAGAACTGGTTAGAAGTGATGTTGTCCCTTTGTGAGGGGAACGCATGGTTGCTTACACCAGGTACAAACCTGCAGCTCTTCATCTGTAAGATTTTCACCCAGTTCTTTGGCTACACGTTTGAGGTTTTTGAAAGAGATTTTGCCAGTTTCATCATCATCAAAAAGCTTAAAAGCTTTGAGAATCTCCTCTTTGGAATCTTTATCAGCCTTAAGTTTAAGGAGAAAAGCATTAGTTATACTACATATAATACTCAGAAATTGCAATTATAGCATACAAGAATTAGAAAGACTAAGAAAGTCTCATAACTTTAAACATACACCCACTGCCACAAACATACACACAAAAGCTGAAGGTAGAAAGACACAGTAATGCTGCTTGAACCTCAGGGCTTCAAGTTCTTTTCTTTCATATCTTGTTAGACAACTTCAGGATTTCAGTGTCAGGATCCTTCACTGTTAAATACTTGCTTTTACCCAATATTTTCTAGGACTTTTAAAAGCAGAAATCTCATCTGTAAATATCTTTTATCCATGTAATGCATCAATGCTCCTGACAGAGTTCTGCATGCTAGAGTTGTCTTTCATCTGTGATAAAAGTTCTGGTTCCCTTGTCATACGTGCATAAAACTGATTGTTAAAGAAGCTTATTAATGACATTTCAACCATAATATTCAAGTAAATGAGTGAACTGGCCTATGACCAGGTAAGATTTAACTTACTTGTTTAGCATTAAGAGTGAACTATAAATGAACACTTAAAAAAGCCATAATATGACAGAACTTAATGTTAGTAACTAAATTTGATGAAGCTTTAAGATAGGGAGAAGGGGGAGGTGTGTGGTCTGTCTGTGCTTTTTCCCCGTCTAAAACCAAGAGGAGGTGAAAGTGACTCATCCATTTTCAGAATTTCTTCTTCTTTGCCTTCTAAAGCTTACATACCATTTTCTGGGTCATCACTGCCAAGAAGTCATTGAAACTGATTTTTCCTGTTCCTTCTTTATCGATATCTGATATCATTTTCTTGATTTCTTCTTTCTTAGGTTCAAACCCTAGTGCTCTCATGGCCACCTGTAAGGCCAAAAGAAATTAGTCATACAAAACTATAGCAGGAAAAATATCTCTTAATGACAAACACAGTTAAACTTTGTGCCATACCACAGTAGATCATGTTCTCAAGGAGAGCAGCAAGGTCAAGGAGCTCTCTTAAAGCAATGTTTTTCATTGCACAAGGGCATGTTGGGATGCAGAAAACAGGCAGCCAGTTGTATTCTTCTAGACATCCTTCCTTCCTTTTCTTTAATTTCAGAGTTTCCTAAACACATTGAACCATTGTGGCAACACCCTCTTGTGAGAACTGGCAGGGAGATGGAAATAAGCTTGGGAGAAAAGATTTCTCAAAAGAAATCTGGATTAAGTCCTAGCATACCTGTTTTGGTACATAACAGTTTAATTTCTATGGTGGGGATTCAGAATAAAAGTATCCTTTTTTTTTTTTTTTTAAACAAAAAAAAAACAACCAGAAACGATATTATCATGTAGTGCTGTAGTGATTTTCAGTGCTGCTAGAAGACAATACAGCTGCTTTCCTGTGAGAATTGCTACTAACCCTCTCTTACACATGACAAATGTGACACTGAGTAACAATTCAAAAAAGCTCACTTCATGCTCTTGTGTAAGCAAAGTGGCAACTGCAAGACTTAAAAATGTCTTTGAAGGAAGGTTTTAAAAAAAAAAAAAAAAATTAACCATGCTTTAATACAAGTGACTCCATGCAAGAAGCTTCTGTCATACTTGCTACTCAATTGAACTCCTTGCAGACTTTAATCTGACAGCACAAAGATGGAAGCTCTTAAGCTTGCAGACCACACGGAACTTCAGGTTTTTTCATTTTTGTGAGAAAGCCTTAATGAATGTACAGGAACACTGCATGGTTTCAAATGCTCCGAGCACCTGAAAGTAGTAAAAGTTACAGCTAGAGGGCGATGTGCTTACTGACAGCAAGGGTTTCACTCCAGAAAACACATCTGCAGGTCCGTTCCTGTGTCAGGTCGTGCTTTCAGCAATAGAAAGCCTCACCTTCAGTTCCTTAACATCAATGTTCCCGGTGCCATCTGTGTCAAACAGGTCGAAGGCCTCCCGGATCTCCTGCTTCTGCTCTTCAGTCAGCTCTGGCTTGGGACTCGATTTCTTCCTCTGGGACGCTGCTCCCAGCGAGGGCTTCTTGAAGCTGGAGGCCTTGGCATAGCAACACAAGAGCAAACGGGCATCAGACCGCCCCGGGAAGAGCGGGAAAGTCCTGCGGAACGGCGGCCCCCTCAGCTCGCCCCGTGGCCGCTGCAGGCTGACAGGGGCGGCCCCGCGACCCCGTTGCCGGGAGGGCGGAGCCGCCGGACCGCACTCACCATCCCGGCGGCTGCTGCCTCGGGGCGGTTCCAGTTCAGTCAGGCCGGTGCTCAATACTACCTTCCCCCATTGGCTGATGCCGCCACGCCGCTGCCATGGTAACCGTCTCTCTGATTGGTGGAGAGACGAAGGCGGGAGGAGCTGAAAAGGTGGCTATTGGTCAGCAAGTGGTTGGGGCGGATCCAAGAGGCAATGGGACCTTTCTGCCTTTCGTCAACGCGGTTGGCCGAAGTGAGAAGGGCGAGCGGCCAATCAGCGAGCGGTAACTGCCTGGCGCGATGCTCGGCCCAGGGCTCGAGGGAGGGGATGAGGGGAGCTGTTGTGCGGTGGGCGGGGCTTTGCGAAAGAACGCGCGCTGATTGGTGGAAGGGGAGAAGGGGCGGAGTCGGACGATTGCTGTGAGGGGAGCTGAGGAGGGGGTGAGGGCGGCGCGGTGAGGTGAGGAGGAATCGTGGTGCGAGAAGAGCCGCAGAAGGGGCAGCTGAGGGGTGTGAGGGAGGGTGGGGTCGTATGGAGGCGAGATTGAGGGGAATCTTTGGGATGGGGGTGGAGGAACTGAAGGGAAATCGGAGGTAAAGCGGCTCCTCAGCGGCGGTGAGCGGCGGGACCTGCCTTGAGGAAGGGGCGGGGAGGGGCAGCTGGGGGTCAGAGCTCGTGCCTGTTTTTCCCAGCCCGCGTGGTGTTCCTGGCTGGGTGAGCACCAGTCCTGCTTTCTTGTTTTCCTCATCACCTCGGAGATACCTTTTCAGATAACAAAAAGAAAAAAAAAACCAGCCGCGTGGATTCTTAAGTGAGCTAATTCAACAGAGCTGTTCTCATAGAGCTGTAGGACGGCTTGGGTTGGAGGGAACCTTAATCATCGACTTCCAAACCCTTCCCACGGACAGGGATGCCAGCAGTTCAGGCTGCCCAGGGCCCATCCGACTTGGCTGTGTGCCCCTCTGGGGATGGGGCACCCACAGCTTCTTGTTTTCCCGCTGGCTCTGTGCTCACAGGTGTGGTACTGTGACGGCAGCACTGCTGTGGCTCTTCCTGAGTCGGTCAGGTGAGGTGGGTCAGGGCATGCTGAGCAGCCCGGGTGGGAAATGATTAACCCAACATCCACGTCAGTGTGCAGGCAGTAGGAGGCAGTGTGAGCCACCGGCTGAGTCAGGAGCACGGAGTCAGCCTCTATAGCAGCGGTTACCATGCTGATTTTTCTTTAAAAGTGATTGTAAAACCGTCAGAAATCTTTGTGTAGCTCACTTCTGTGATGGAAGCAGATCTGGATAAGTATGTTATCTTTTTCTGCTTTTCTATGACCTCAGCCAATATTGGAGTTTAGTTTGCTATCACAGGGGTAAGGATGTGTTTCAATGAAACTGGTGCCATCAGCAGTCTGTAAGGCAAGAATTTGGCAAATCTCAGCTCTCTTTGCAGGCATTTGTTCCTTGGTGTGTTAGCATGATGCTTCACTTCCGTTTTGCTATTCCAAACACCCTCCAGCAATTCTATTTTTGAAGAGGGAACTGCCAAAAAAGAGAGTCGTTTGTGGTTTTGTAGTATAAATGTTTGGGTTTAAAGGAAGTGCATGAAGTTAATGCTAGCCAAATAAAAGGATGCCTTTGATATCAGGTGTATTTGATTTTAGTGGAGTTATGCCTTTGAGAAAGCTGTTTGACGTCAGTGTTAGCCATGTGTTACTTGTCTAGTTCAACAGGGCCTGGAGATTTAATTCACTTATTAATATTTTTGCTTTAGTGTAATGGCTTTGCCTCAATTCTGTTAACTAGAAATTTGTTTTTAAAAAGTTATGCTTGCGTTAATGACATGCTCAAGATGGCTGTTGCATTGTGAATAAAATATTCTCCCTTTTTTTAAAGGAATTAGGTTAATACTAAAACAGCTGAGAAATGGCCACACGCTTCAGATCGGTGAGTTGAGGACTTCCACCTTGCTGTGTGAAGATTTGCCTGATAGGAAGGTGTTTTCATAGATAAGTCTTCTGTAACCAGGTAAAACCAATGCTGCTTCTGCATTAAGGCCTGCTCCAAAGCTATTGCTGGTGGAAAAGTGATTTACCAAGGAATGCATTTGCTGCCATTACATTCCAGAGAGACCCAAGTGATACTTAACTCCCTAAAAACCTCAGGGACTTTGGCAGGGCTGCCAAATGAATTGCAGATCTTGCATGTCAGAATCATTCTGATGTATCTTAACTGTCCTGTGTTCTCGTGCAGGTGAGGGCCTGGATGAGGTCCCTGAGGTCAACCAGACTGTTGTAACCTCATTCTACCATTATTACACTGACTGCAGGAGGTTTTAATATCCAAGGAATAACATTTTGCTTCCCTTAGAGGGCAGTTTGGGTGCTACATCAGAAGTATAGTTTGATAAGCTGTTCTGTTAAGTTGCCTGTGTTTCTTGTTTATAGGCAAATTTCTACATTCTGGACCATATTCTCACTTTTTCTTCTGAGATACAAGTAAAACCAATTAATCTCAAATAGTTAGGAAACAAACAGAAACACAGCAAACAAAAAAAAAATAACTGTAGCATTGTGTTAGAGTGCATGAACAGCCTGTTGTATCTTTGTGGTGCAATGTTAATTAGGCATCGCATAGATATTACCTTAGGAAATGAGCTCATGTGTAGCCTGACTTTCTGCCAACCTTTTCTAAAAGGCCAAAGAGTTCAGGAGCAGCACTGTGAGCTGCAGTTATGCTGATTCTGGTTACTGAGTTGGTTCTCTTACCCCTTTCCCAAAAGGTGCATGTATTGCAGGTTATAAATATGCTCTAAGGTTTATTTAATAAATCTCATAATCAATAAGAATGCTGTTCTGCTTGGGAAGCAAGGATGTGTTCATATAGAAAAGCCTGGATTGCATCAACTGTGGTGGGAGAAAACTGTGATGCTGCTGCTTCACCAGACAGAGGGCGTCATTCTGCCGTTATTTAAAACTTTGATTGAATGCTGTGTGCAGTTTTGGTGTGTTGATTTCACAAAGAAGATGCTGGAATGAGAAGAGATACAAGCAAGAGCAAGCTAAGGACATTGATGAAAAGGAGCAACTGCCTTTTGAGGAGGGGCTGAACAGACAGAGAGGGGACTGCAGAGGGGAAGGGTTCATGAAATCAGGAGGTGGATGAGCAAAGCAAATGCAGACAAATGTAGTGGGGCCATGCAAGCAGCTGGGACTCCTTGAAAGTCCTTGGACTCAATTAGGCTTCCTATATCATCGTTGGTTTTGATGACTGTAGGAGAAGAGTCCAGTACCAGATATACAGTTGGTCCAACCCAGTGGAACTTATATTTATTTTTTTAATGCTTTTAAGCAGTCTCTGCTTTGCATGCAGAGTTCCAAGTAGCTGGCTATGTCTTACTTAGTTGCTCAGTTTCACTGAGCTTCTCTTATGTCTATTGCGGATAACTGACACTTTTGCAGCTGAATATTTGTTGAACAGTGTAGTGCCTGGAAACTTCCAAACAACTGTTGTCTTTGTGTGGTTTCATTGGGTTAAAATTTCTTCCAGAAAAACTGCCAAGGTAGGTCTTTGCGTAACAACAAAAAGGGGCAAATCTATTTCCACCAAAAACAGAACGGTCTTTGTACAAAAACTTCCTCAATGATTGCTTAAATGTTCTGTGATGATGGTGAAGTCAGCAGAGTCATTCCAGTGACCAGACCAGAATCTGTTAATTAGTGACTTCAGCCACTGAATTAAAAAGCATTTAAAATAAATGAAGAACTAATGGCTAAATGAGGAGGATAAGCTTTGCTTTTACCTGATTGCTTTCTTGGTTTGGAGGAGCCTAAGTTCCTCGTGCTTTGAAAATGGCTTCGTCCTTCCTAGCTGTGATGTTACTGTTTTGTTACCTGTGTTGTGTGGCTGGAGTTCTGTGTGCTTTACATTAGGGTGCTGCTGATGTACATCTGTTTGCTATAATGCTTTTTTTCTCCCTGTCTTTGCAGGCTGGTAAGAAATGTACAGTGATCGGTGGCTCCGGATTCTTAGGCCAGCACATGGTAGAGAAGCTGCTGGACAAGGGTTACTCAGTCAACGTGTTTGATATTCAGAAGGGATTTGACAATGACAGAGTGCAGTTTTTCCTGGGAGACCTTTGCAACAAAGAGGTACAGACCACTGAAAATTGTGTAGATGGGAAGGATGCTGTTTGTACTGGTGTCCTTACAAACATACAAGCAAGCCTTATTTGAAACATTAAGTGGCCTGAAGGCATCTGAAAGAGTACCTGTGTGCATCTCCCAGTGTTTCCTGGTGAAGCTGGTAGCCTCATCTAGAGCACTTAAATATACTCAATGTCTGCTTAAAGTGGAAAGGAACGGAACTTGTTTCTGGATTACAGTTTGCTTTACTGTTAGCTCAGATAGACAGCCTAATTACTGCCACTATTAGTAATTGCATGTAAGCACTCTCCTTGCTAACCTCCACTGCAAGAGAATGGCAGAATGCGTTATTCCACACAGTTAAGATGCAGTAAGAGGCTTTGCCTTAAGTCATGCATGTGAGCTCTGGCATAAGCATTTGTGTGCAATGTGGAGAGAGGTCTCTGTGCCAGCATGAAGTATCATGTCTCAGACTGCAAGGCAGTCACCTCAAAGACAGACAGTGCCATGGGTGCTGTTGGCTGTTAAATGTATTGCATGCAGATTTTTCAACTCCTCTCCCCCAGTAATTTTGAGTCTCATGCCTGCACTTGAGGTTGTTGTATGTGGTTAAACTTTGGTAGCCTCCGGGTCTCAGAAAGTTCCCAGGCTCTTGTCTGGAAAGAAAAGATGGTGTGGTGTTTTTTTTTCTTTTTTTTGCCTAACAAGAGATGCTGTGAAGACCAGTAAGGCTGATCCTATGCCAGCTGCTTGCCATTATGGAAGGAACTTGGCTTGAAATTAAGCAGTTTTGTTTTCATGAGAAAAAGAACTGTGCTTTTTTTTTTTTTTCTTGGGTAGTCACTGTTGCTGTTGTTTCATTGCTATCTTGAGCAACATATCTTCTTCTTAGGCCTTACTCCCAGCTTTACAAGATGTTTCAGTAGCATTTCATTGTGCATCGCCAGCACCTTCAAGTGACAAAAGGGAGTT